ATTACCATTTTTAACTGAATAAACATGAACATACATAATAACGACCTTTACATACATATAATAAACATTTCCACATATCATCTCCGATATCCACCGGACTCTCAGTTGCGCGATATGTCTGTCAGCTGTTTGGGATTCCCCTCTGTTCTTACGTCACCGCGCTTTCTGATTGGCTACCTGTCACATTCAGCAGGTTGTATTCTCGTTCCCAGTCAGTGTAAACCCCACAGGCTGCGATAAAAAGGCCAAGACAACCCAAATCAGGATTTAGCGGGAACACCAACATGCAGAAGCCTTATCTGACGGTTCCCCCTCACGGACCGCAACAAAAATTTCAAAGTCTTGACCGGTCCGCTGTAATAAAAAGGTTGGGGACCACTGAAGTAAAGGACTGAGGCAAAATAGATGAACAATAAAAGTTGTGCATCAAACCAAAGAAAGATCAGGTTTAACTTCACTGAACAGATTTTCACAGTTCATCTTAAAACCTTTGTCTGACCTTTACATGTGTTCTTGTCTTTTGTCATCTTTGTGTAGAAGTTCCAGTGTTTCACAGCAGCACCTTTGAACGAAGGTTCCTTGTGCAGACCCATTCACAGCAACAAGCTCTCCCTTCAGCTCCAGCAGTCCAACAAGAGGTAGACACAGACATCGTTGAGATCCTCATATGAAACCATGAATTTAAGAAAAAAAACAACAACAAAAAACGTATATGCGTAAGTGATGAATGGCAGCTTCATCACAAGAACTCTCTTCATCATCCTGCACTCTTAGAGCTACATCCTAGTCCTGAGACATTTTGATTTATCTTTTCATCCTATATCCTTTCATTCTATAAGTTTAGCCTGACTGAAGAAAGAACAACATTACAAGGGGTACAACTCTGCATCAGAAATGGGCCTGAAGCAATTTCAGAGGTTATTATATTTTTTCCACTGGTTTTTGTTGTAATGTATTCTTGAAAGTAGTAGGGAATTAAATATACACTTTGTCTTTAAAAAATGTGCATAGTTAGACAATACTGAGCAGCAAAGTCCCCTCCAAACTCAGATTAATTTCATTTGGGATTTCTATACCGAAGTTAAAGTGTTCTACTTGTTAAACACTTTTGTATTTAATAACTAGTTGTTGTGTTTATTAGGATAATGACTATATTACTAACCATAGTACCGAATGTTTTTAGCACATCTATCATACTTTGTAAAGTTTTCCAACAAACGCAGCTGGTTTTTGTTAAGCTTTCTGAAAAGACTTAAGGTAGCAATGAAAGATCATTGCTTTTTCAAGGTAAAGTAACCATTTCAAATATCAAGAAATTTATTCAGACTAATCCCATTGGACCAATTGTATATACTGTTATTTGCATTATTTATTGCACAGATTCACATCTGCTTTATGCTTTATTTTAAGGCATTTGGCCTTGTGTTTGCGTGTGTGTGTTTTTATATATATCTTAGATATTAGAAATACATATGCTGTCAGGACTGATATCAACTAGTGTTTAACAAACCCTTCACAAATAGAGGTTTCCTTTGTGTCTGTTATTTCTAACTTAAAACCACAAATTAAAAAAGCTACAAGCATGACAAATCGTAAATGACTTAGCACAGGGGTGCTCACGTCCAGTCCTCGAGAGCTACCATCCTGCAACTTTTAGAAGCATCCTTTCTTCAACAGACTGGGATCAGCTCCAAACAGGCCTGATGGCGAGCCATTCATTTGATTCAGGTGTGTTGGAGCAGGGATACATCTGAAAGTTGCAGGATGGTAGCTCTCGAGGACTGGACTTGAGCACCACTGATTTAGAAGTTCAGCCTTTTAACTTTCTCTAAATATTAGTATTTGTATCTAGATTAAATTAAATCAGCCTGACATTTTACAATGGTCACATGCACACATATATTCTGGTTTATTTTTGTTGTATTAATTAAAAAAGAGAACTTAATCAAATAATTTTATTACCACGCCATGTTGCTCTCTAACCTTAAAATGCAATTTATTTTCAAGGAAAACCATTTACTGTCATCCAATTGGAAGATGAGATTTGAACCTGAGCACTTACAGCTTATAGAATGCATATGCACAGTGCTGGTAAATATAATTGCATTTAAGGCTTCATTTTATTATCGCATGAAAATACCCTGAATAAAAGCAAAATCATTATTGCCTTTAACAAGATAAGGGGATTCTGCAAACTTCATTCAGAAAGACCCCAGGTTGGGAGTCAAACCGAGGACCTTCTAGTTGCAAGCTAACAGTGCTACCAACCACACCACTGCACAGCCCCCAATTCAATTCATTTCAATTGAATTGAATTGCGTTATATTTATATAACACAAATTCACAATAAATGTCATCTCAAGGCACTTTACAAAATCTATCAATTTAATCACACATTCCAACTGATCCTAGTTATCAAACGGTACATTATGCTCAAATAGTTATTCACTAAAGTTTAAAAATTTTCGATCTAATAAAACCCTGCAGATTGCATCTAGTCTAGTCTAGTGTAGAGGAAAAAAAGACAAGAATGTCAATTTGTAACCCAGTTTTTCTCCAAGAGAGGTGGGTTGACTGTGTGAGATTATCAACCATTTAGCAGTTAGCTTAGCTACAGACTACTGTTTTCCTCCATTTCACTAGCATTTAATGAATTAAGGAAAGAAATTACCAACATATTCATATATTTAACTTGTTCCTGAACTTTTTACCACACGTAACAACAGATGAGTCAGTCAGCAGCAGCTCTAACACTCATCCCTCCTAACCCGTCCTCTCCGAAGTGAAATTAAAGTTGCAGTATGTCTTTCAAAATGTCTTTGTTATGACAACTTGACATTAAACAAGAAATCATTACTGATATAAATTTGTTATAAAAGTATTATTGATTTCACTTTAAAAACTAGGTAACTGTATGTTATTAAAAGTAAAGTTTAAACAGTAATGATTTCTTGGTTAATGTCAAGTTGTCATAACAAAGACATTTTGAATCATGTCAACTTTGTATTAAAATTGTCATAATTTACCGAATGACGCTTTATGACAGCAGTCATAAATATTCATGAAGGCTAATTCATGTTCATGACAGGTGTTATGTCATATTTATGAAAGTGTCATGACAGTCTTATTCAACCCCCTTCAAATAAAGTGTTACCAGAAATTCACATATTTGTTAAAACTGTCATTATATTGTGACAGTATAGTACGAAAGAGTCTAATCTATTTCCTCTGCCTTCTCCCAGGGCTCTCTAGAAACAACCATCAGAGCCAGGAGAGTTTTAGTGCTGTCAATCACAATCTCATGTGGTGCTGCTCATCCTCCCTCCCCTCGCTCTGTGCTCTGCTGCAGCTAGCGCAGCCTGTTGTTAATGCTCAGTCTAGTTAGCATAGCTACCAATAACAGCAGATAAAAATTTTTCCTGTAATGATAAGTTGTTTTTCCACCATTAGCACATTTAGCAATGAGTGAATGAGGTTGACTGATGGCACCAAGACCCTCCTTCTGGTTCTGATTGGTTGTTTTGGCCAGGATGTTGCATTATTTTAGCGAGTATTAGTAATTCAGGGAGCAGGTGGAGGAGATTGATTGTTTTCTCAGATTATCTGTCTCATAGCAAACTGGCACGACGTCGTGACAGCTTTAACAAATATGGAGAAAACATATTTTTTATTAAAGTTATGTACTACAGCTTGAATATAATGCAACCGCATAGGATTTTTGAGAAGTCTGGATTATGTCTATTTTGCATGTTGCTTTTAACTGTTGCTCGTGGGGAGAGACATTTCAGTATCTAAAACTAATAGAAAAAATTTAAGTAACCTACTTGCATACTGGATGTGGACTGTTGGATGTAAAATTCACTAGCAGTGAATATTGTGCTAGTATTAGTATTGGACCAAAGAAAGCAAGGCAGTTGCAAGCCTTTAAAATTGTGGCGCTTTTTATCGGTCAAATAGACTCAAAAAATTGTAACATCAGCTGTGCAGGGGGGCCCAATCAAATTTTTTGTCAGGGGGCCCAAGATTCCTGGCGGCGCCTCTGTGAGATAATGTAGGCTTATTTTTAATTTTCATGAAAGTAAAAAGTTAATAGCAGGAGAGGGAGTTGATGGAAGCATTATCTCTGCTAATTCCCTCCTCAAGTAAGGTATCACTGCTGTTGCACCTTTGTCTACAAAAACTGCCATCAGGCGATTCCACTAACTGGTGATAAATCTTTAAATCTCTGAAGAACTTTGGCCAACCCTTATTTTTTCCAGAAAGGTTTTAATTTAGTCAAGTTGTAAAACTTAGAGCACAATTGGACTGCTTACAGTAATGCCAGACCACCTCTGTTGATTTCACTTCATACTAAGTCATTTAGAAACCTTCCTTTTAATAACTTGATTACTTGAGCTTAAGATTACAAACTCATTGACATTCCTCTAAAGGATTTTCTGATCTTTATCAGAATTTATTGGTTCATAAAATATGGTCAGTCAGGTAAAACAGCAAAGCAGCCCCAGACCATCACATCACCTTGTTTCAATGGAAAGATTTTGCTTTTCTTAATGCTTTGTCAGTTCTGATGTAACTAGAGATGCAGCTATGCCATAATGTTTCCTCGTTGTTCCATATTCTCTGAATTAGTCATTAATAGCTCCAGCTGTGGTTTACTGGAGTCTCAAAACCTTAGAAAGGCATTTGTAAGACTTTCCAACCTGTTAGATGCCAATGACTATTTGCTCTCTTTCTGGAATTTTGGGGCAAATTAGAAAATAATGTGTTGCTTTTTGAGATCCGCCTGCTGCTTGTTGCCAGAAATGTTTTATTTTGATAATTCTACAGGTCTGACAAGAGTCAGGCCTTGATGTGTAATGTGGCAAAACACTTCACTATTTTAGAGTGTTATTTTGATTTGAAATGCTTTTTTGCTTAATAAATAAACATACCGTATTTTCCACACTATAAGGCGCACGGGATTATAAGGCGCATAGAATAGACGCTACAGTAGAGGCTGGAGTTGCATTATGCATCCACTACATGGAGCTGCACTAAAGCGAATGTCAACAAAACAGTCCAACTCCGGTCGGCGAGGAGAGCCTTCCGCGACTGAGCCGGGGCGTGGCCGGACGATGGTCACCCTTCTCCGTTCACGGACAGCATGTTTGTGGAGAACTTGGTGCTAAATGACCTGCAGACGACCTGATTCTAGACGGTCGGTAGGTAGATAAGTCAGTCAAACTTTATTAATATATTACAAACCAGCGTTCTGACAACTATCCCAGCATGCACCGCGCGTTTCTTCTTCTATGGGCGAAAATGAAGTTGGCGGCTGCTTACTGTAGTTGCTAGATCTGTTGTGGCTCAATATTGGTCCAAATATAAGGCGAACCGGATTATAAGGCGCACTGTCGGCTTTTGAGGAAAGTGAAGGGTTTTAGGTGTGCCTTATAGTGCGGAAAATGCAGTAAGTTGAATACATGTTTTTTCAGTCACTCAATTGTTGCCTGATGTTAAAATGTTTTGCTCAAAAACATTCATTTCAACATTACTTTTACATAACTCTTGTCGTATGATCACTCTTTCATAAAGTCAGATCTGGGTGCTGCATGACGGAGAGCTCCTATGAACAATTATATTCTCAGACAGCACACTAAATGTATTCATTGTGAATGTTCCCTGATTTGTGTATTTTGAATCTTTAGGGATGAAAACTATGTTCTTTCACATTAACTTGTATTAAGTGTATTGTTTAAAAGGAGGATAGAAAGTTACGGAAGAGGCAAGGACTGAAAATACTTTTTCAAAATACAACATAAAAATAATTTAAGAACATATTTGGAACTGTTAGAAAAAAAAACAATTTCATTTATTTGTACTATTCATAGTGGATAGTTTAGGTTTTGTTATGGATGTTTGGCTTTGTGTTAAAATTTACATCACAAAAGCACTTTTAAATCAGTCATTCCTCTATTGGATACAAATCCAACACAGCAGCACTAAGACAACTACACTGCTACAACTTAGTGAAGATGCCACATACTAGGTTACATGTAACCAGCACATATTAGGCTAAACAATAATATCACAAAATGTAATTTTCAAAAAGGACAAACATCATATCTGGGAAAAACTGGGTCAAATTCTTACAAATATTAAATTTGGAATTAGTTCTTTCAGTTTTTATCAGTTTAACCCTTTCATGCATAGTGGTCACTAGCTATCTAAAAGCCATTTTGTTGTCCTTCGCATGGAGTTTTATGTTATAAATGCACACTGTGCATTTATGTTATAAATGCACACATTAGTGTCCACTGATGTGGACACTAATGCATCATAAAATACACTATCAACTACTGGCCATGAGCTACAAATGCAAGAAATTATTTTTGTTGAATTCAATATGGCCGACAGTCAAAAAACATGCCAACCGACCCTGTGCCTCCTTCTACTGTAGGCGACTCTTGAAGGTAAAAAAAAATATTGTGACATCAGATAATCCCTAAAGAACAATACGACTGATATATTTTTCAAATAACTTTGTATTTGGAAAAAATTACAATCAATCGCCTAAAAAAAAGAGAAAAAAATTACAATTTTTTTCCTACCTTTTTTATGCCTTAAGAAAATAAAAAAGGAAAAAAATCCTGACACAAAGGATCATAATTCATGCATGAAAGGGTTAACATAATGAAGTGGGAGCACTTCATTCAGTTGGAACACAAGTAGTTCAGTACAGCTAAATGCATTAACATCTGTTTTTTAGGAGAGGTTCCAGTGGACTGGAAGTTGATAGTTGAAATCCACTTTGACCCTTTGAAAATAGAGATGATTATCTTTCCCTATCACTATGAAAAGGTATTTGAATGTATTTTCTTCAGCAAAGGTTAGTGACAAGAGGTAAGTCAGTGTTACAACACTAACTTACCTGTCACTGTTGAAGTGGAATGGACATTTTGTATGCTTTTAACCAAATCTTTTTGAATATGTTATGCATATGTTGTATTCTGTTTTGTACTTTATATTCCATGTCAATTGCCCTAAATAAACAGCACTTTTCTTCATTTGAGCAATGTTTAAAAGTGGTTTGTCGAGTTGAACAAATAATAATCCCTGAGTTCTGTCTCTCCAGTCTGTAATTCATTTAAATCTTTTTTCTTAAGATGTGACTGCTCCTCTAAAACTACACCCCAGACTATTAAAGAAAAACTGAACTTAATAGAGCAGCTTTCATTTTCATCAGGTCACAGGAAATTCCTCATCAGCAATTTTATGTCAGAAATCATTAGTAATTATTTTAAAAGGTACATTTGGTACATCAGTAATGCTTTTCACTCATTGTTTAGCCATTCTTGGAGTCACAAAAAAAACATGCTGGGGACCACATGTTGATCAGTTCCTCATCAATGTGCTTGCAAGCAAAGTCATCAATGGAGAAATATGTAATCTATTTGCTGCCGGTACACCTGAATTTCCCCACTGAGAGACAATTGTTATATACGTATAAAGGAGCTTGATGTTTGATAGAACACACAGTCCATCATTGTCATCCAGTGTATGAAATTATCTGCAAATCTGAGGTGGCATATTATGATATATACAAAGTTATACAGTATATCTAAATTAATGCTCATTTTCAGCATAACAGTTTTCTAAATTAACATTTGTATTATTCTTGTAAACAACTACATGAAAAAGTATATTGTCTCTTTGTGTCCACTTGCTGAGTGTTGGCTTATTTGCCAACACTCAGCTGAGTTCCAGAGTTCAATTGAACGCCGTGTTTCGGACACCAGACACAGTAGTGACAGGAGAACTCCTGCCTTTTGGGAGCACTAGGGAGAAGAGGAAGAAGCAAATGCTTATAACACTCAGAATGATCACTGCTGAGATGAGTATGCTGGTCACTGTGTTCATGTGAAACTCTGGAGCATTCAGAAGAGCTGCAGCAGTGGAAAGAAACAAAGAAGTTTTTTAACTCTTCATATTTCATGCACACATTCTGTATTTGCTCTTGCTAAAACAGCAGTATGGTCATTTTCTATTATAATGCATGTGTAAAACAGCAGTAGTTGATGTACAAGCCATTCCCCACCCTTTTAAAACCAGTAGTCAAGGGAGTATCATCATAGTATTTTGAACCGTTGATGGCTCCCGTTTTAATTCTGTTATAAAACAACCAAATACGTCACTGGCAAGATTTTTATTTGATTTTTGGAAAAGTATAATAAGATTTCTGGAAATCAGTTCAAGACCCCATTATGAATTGAAATGACTCTGCAGTAGAGTCAAAAGTAATATTTTCAAAATTAGAATCTGCAAAAAATTACAATCTGCTTTCAGTGAGACATGTATGTAAATGAAATTACATACATACATACTAACACAGCAAGTTATATCTTATTGTCTTCTCTGTTTCATACTGTACTTCATTCTTGTAAATATTTAGTTGATTTTATTTTCTAAATGTGTCAGAAAATTGTCTTCAAGATAAAACGTATTAAACAGTTTATTTAAGTCAAAGCAATAACACAAATTGGAGTGCTTACCCAGCTGAGAATTATTACTTGGTGTTTGTTCTGCAAATAAAAAAAAGGTAATTACAATCAAGCCGTGAAGCTAAACTAACAACTCAAAACATTTTTAGACAAGCTATATACTTTTAAATGAAAACATAAATCGTCTCAGTAGTTATAACCATTGCGTGAGACCTTTGCCTCAACTGAAAAATTCTGCTTTAACATGCTTATTAACAGTTAGATTCATCCATAAAACCTATATATGCAGTCCAAATCAATGAGATTTCTTAATATTTTTTAGTGAAGTGACAGCCACTTCAAAATTGCAGACTCTATTCCATAACCATGAAATTATTTATATTTATGTATTTTGCTTTAAATATGTTACCCCAAGATTTTCAGAGGTCACCTTTTGACCACCCTTTCTAAACTTTCTGGGAGTACCACTAGCACAAATTAGCAATGCTGTAAGAGAGGCCCAAGGCATAAGAAAAACTAAACTCATAAGATTATCTGGAACAAACACATTTTCATTGAGCTTTGTTCCAGTGAGTTGAAACCATGTTAAAGAAGTGCACTGTTTAGAACAAGCCTTTGTGTTTTCATTTGAGAGCTGCTTCTTTGCAAAGAGCAGGTTGATTGCTGTACACAGGTTGGGAAAATTATTGAGGATGAAGAGTAGTCTGTACCACTTCGAGTGATGATGGGCCCCGCAGTCAGAACAGCATTTCCTGGTGACTTGCTTGATTGTTTCCCTTCTGAAATAGCTCTCTTTTTCTTGCTGCCACAGATCTATGACAAACAGCACATAAAAAAAATCACTCACTGTGGCCATTAAGACAAACAGGTATGATAAATGTGGTTTCATTAATTAATTTAAGTTCCCTTTGCGATCACTAAAGTATTTTTGAACTTAAATTTAATATGATTCAGCAACTATAGTTTGATGATGAGAAAATATGTTATCTTTGTACAGCAAAGGCAACCACTCTTTATGTGTTTTGTGCTTGGTTACATGAAGCAGTCCCATCAGGAGCTTCAAACAGATGGATGCTTGGAAACTGAAACCGTAACCTTCCCCCTCAGTTCTAAGGGTGCACCGATTTATCGGCCAGCCGATTTATCGGTACTGATTTCCTTAATTTTGGAAGATTGGTGATTAGCCAATTTTTACATGTGAAGCCGATCTTTCCACCAATGTTATCAGTCTCGACAAAGGTCTAAAAATCAACCACTGTGCTTTTCTTTTCTCCCATGGGAGAGGTTTTACTGACAAACCGGCCGACCAGGTCATGTCTGCACATTTACAGTTAACAATAGTCACCCCATTGTTGCTCATTCAGCAGCTTTCTTCATATATTGAGCAACATATCAGACAAAAAACTGGTATCAGCCAAAATTGTAATAGGTAATTAGGCTTTATAAAAGATCGGTAATCAGCGATCGGCCAGAAAACTGCAATCGTTGCACCCCTACTCAGTTCTCTTTGTAGTTGTAATGTTAGGATGAACATAATATTCATCAATTGGCAGAATGTTGTGATTTTTTTTCTTTTTTATATATTTAAAGGTAGTGAAATTAAATGATTTTCCTATATCAGAAAATAGAAAAGTTAAAATAATTTGTTGGTCTATAGTCAGGAATCTCACATCTTAATGTAAATATAGGGCTTTCCATGATGTGTATTCATGAAATTTAAAGTTCACAGCAAAATCTGTGTATTTCATTATGAGTATTGGTGCTTTTTTATAAGTAGTGATAAGAACAAATATACAACTACATCTCAAACAGTCAGAACATTATTAAAGTTTGTTTTTTTGTGACTCACTTCAGAAAGTCAAACTTAGATATTACTATAAAGTATAAGATTACTTGTAATAGCTTACTTGTAATAATTAGAAGTATGGCTTACAGATAATGCAAACTCAAAATTTAATCTCAGAAAATGTATCACATAAGCTCAATTAAAAAGGATATTTTAAACAGAAATGTGTGGTTTCCATGTTCATTTCTATACAGTTAATACTTAGTTGGCCCTCCTTTTGCAAGAATTGCTGCATTAATGTGGCATGGCATGGAGGCAATCAGCCTATGGCTCTGCTGAGTTGTAATGGAAATCCAAATAGCTGTGGACAGCCACATTGCTTTGACGGTGGCCATCAAGTCGTCTGGGTTGCTGGGTCTGATGTCTCACATCTTCCAATTTTTAATAACCCATACATTCTCTATGGTCTTCAGATCAGGCCAATTATCTGGCAAATCAAACTCAGTAACACCATGGTTTGTATCTCCTGTGTTGTAAACAGGTGCAACATCCTTCTAGAAAATGAAATCAGCATCTCTCTAAAACTTGCCAGCACAATGAAATATGAAGTAATCTAAAGTATCCTGGAAAGCCAGGTGTTGACTGTGGACTTTAGCCATATCATCTGCTGTCTAAGCCAGCAGATGATATGGCACTCCAAGTCATCAATGACTGTGAAAAGGACATTGGAGCACTGAACAATAATCCTATTCCTTTTTCTCAATAGCCCAGGTGAGATTTTTGTAGTCAACGTAGATCATGTTTAATATTGCTCTATTCATAGAGGCTCTTGTTGCGCTAATTCCAGCCTCTGTCCACTCAATGCGAAGCTCCCTCAAACTCTTGAATGGATTTTACTTAATTTTCTAAAAGCTGAAGTTGTCTCTGTTTCTTGGTGCACCTTTGCCTACTGCACATTTTCTTTCCCACTCAGGTTTTCAGAAAATGTTTGCATACAGCACTTCGAACAAATGGCTTCTTTAGCAATTACCTTTTTTGGTTTACTCTCTGTGTGGAAGAGAGAAGGCAGTTATTTACCCCATTTCAAAAGATCTTTTGTTTCAGGTGTGTTGAACCAATTAAATAACTAAAATGCAGCATACCAGTCCTTGAGGACTAATTTTGGACACCACTCATGGAGGCTCCAGAAATTTCAGTGAATTTTTTGAATAAATTCACTGATTACAGTCTGACACCATAAATTTCCAATATGTAACTTTTTCACAATATGTACATTTTCTGAGATGATGAATTTTGGGTTTTCATTATCTGTAAGACATAAACATCAAAATTACAAGAAATAGAGGCTTCAAACACTTGTAATGAATCCATAAATAAACATAAATATGCTAATAATTTTGCTTTGGCTCAGTTTTACATGAGATCAATCAAATAGAAAGTACTGTTGAACCCTACCACTGTTTGTATCCTGTGGAGCTGCTTCATTCAACCTCATGTAAACTTAAATCCAATCTTCAACATTCTCTTAATGAGTCCTTTTGAGTAAAAGGCTCAAAAGGCTAATGAATATGTAACACATCCCAACAGTGGATACTGAGGACCAGGGATGGAGACTAATGCTATATATTAGATGAATGTGTTGGATCCTGAGAAGGTTCCCACTCATATCCTTTCCATTTTAAAAAAATCTGTAATTACACTTTGTTTAAACACTCTTCTGTGCATATGTGTTTATTGTTTGTCTCACTGGCATGAGCATAGGACAGTCATCTGCTCGACATAGCTTGGTAACACAGTGCAGAAACACAGTGGACATCTTCTGATTCTTGTGCTTGACAAAACGGAATACTTCAAAGGCAAAGCGACCCATTTGGCTTTTCCCATTCTCAAGGACAGTGGTCTGTGGGTCCTTATCACAGCTGGCTCAGGAAACAAAACGTTATAAAAGATAATTATAAAAGAGGGCAAGTTAAACTTATCAACTGAACTGTATCAAAAAAATGTTTTTTAATACTTTGAGTTACCTAAAGAAAAGGTCATAGCGAAGCTCATCATTTGGGTTCCCAGAGGGTGTAGTATAACAGTAGTCCATTAGAACGTTCCATCTGTTTAATAGTAAAATATTATTTATTTCACTGAGAAAATTTATGCTAAAGTAATGTTTGTGTTTCCAGTTTCCACAGTGTGAAATCTACATCTGCTGGGGAATATGAAGATGTGATCATGTGTGATGTGCTTCCAGAACACTTACTGTGTGATATACACATTAGGCTGACTGTATCTATTCTAGGTGAATTTTGCTAGTGACTTTCGGTCCATATAATTTTTACAGGTAAGCAAATAGCATGAACAGTTTAAGTTTCTACAATATGTGGAAACTTAAAGTTGAATGCTTTAATTGGCATAATACATGAGTAAGTAGTAAGTGACAATTCTCTGTTCCCAAATTATTAATAAAGCAGTGAGAGATGGAAAGAAGGAGTACTAATGAATTATTATTGATCATAAAACATAGCAATGCCACAATTTTTCAAAACTAAAATCATATTTGATCTTCTCATAGAAGTGTCTTCAATACATTTAAGAAGCTGAGATTTTATTTCTGGCATTTATTTTCATCCGACTATGAAAATAAAAATAGTCTTTTTTTTTTTGACTAAGTGATGGGAGGAAATACACTGAATTTTCTCATCTGTTGGTAACAGAGAGAAAATAAGCCACTGATTGCTGGAACAATGTTGTCTTTGTCAAATATGCTTGTACCATACGTCGAGCTGATCACTTCCAAACAGTCAACAAGTAGTCATGTCTAGACATTCATTCGTAAATATATCATTGTGAAAGCAGACAAAACTTTTTCAAAATGTATCCAAATTACAAACTAGTTGTTTCAAAATACAGCTTACATACCATGGAAACAAGCAGCTTTACTATAGCTGCCACTATCTTTCCAGGAGTTGAAAGTGGCTGCTCTGTCAGAAGAAAAGGGGATATTTCCGATGCCCTTGATCCACATTGATTTACATACAGAGGAAACAGGTTAATAGAGAATGCCATACACCCTAAAAAATGTCTCTAATTTACAGTAAAATACCTGCAAGTGTTTGTCAGAATTTTACTGTATAAACATGGCAAAATTATAGCAACCACAGAACCGCAATCACAGTAAATTAGAGACTTTTTACAGTGTAATTAAAGTTCTCCATTCAGCCCTGTATTATTTATTTATTAATAGTATTGACTTTACTGGATAACATAATTCTGAGTTTAAAGCAGTACAATGGCCCTCAGAAGTTCACTATGTACCCCAATACTGGACTTCCTAAGCAATATAAAGTTGGGGAACCAGATCTCCTCTACCCTTATACTTAAATATTGGCACAACACTGTCTCTAGTCCCTTCCTCTGCTCTTTTTAAACAGTAATACCATTGTCAAATTTGTTGTTGACACCACTATTAGTGGGAAGTTAAAGACTAACAGTTGTTTTCATGTCAGGTTGACGTGTGAGTACCTCTTGTCCAGGTTGGTGGCTTTGACAGCTGCAAACACCCGTGTCTTCAGGGTCAGTCCTGCTACAGGAATGGACAGCTGCTGAATGTATGACGAGTCCTATAAAGAAAGAACAATCACATTCAGATCTTCTTCCTGTCATTTGTTTTGTTCAAACACACCTAACAAAAAAGTCTAATCTGAGAGTTGGGTTTTTTTGGGCAACAAGAATCAACATCATGAAGTAGAGTTCTGCATAATTTTCTCAAAAATAAAATCAAGGGTAACAAACCATCTATAGATGCAGAAAAAGTTTTAGGAAACTTGTGTCTTTTCATGCATCAATGTGAACTCTCATAAAAAGTATGAAACAAGAAAAAAGTTGACCATATTGTGAAAAACTATTATTTTGAACTTACATTGTAAAGCAGCAGATTCAGTGTGCTGATGAATGTACCATTGCTTTCTTTCACTGAGATCGCAGCTGATGACCTGTAGCGAAAGAAAACAAAATACTTCATCATAAAACTAGAATCAACTATGTTGATGCAAACATCATAGTTTTTCCATCTTACTGAGTTTTAGATGACTACCTTTGACATAATTAGACTCAAAATTGTTTAATGGCAGGTTTCTGGAAAGTTTATATTTAAAGTACAGTAATTCAATTATTTAATTTCTTAAAACTGCAAGTAGTATTAACATTTTGTTGTAGCCATTTTGGTGCACCTCTAATTGTATTCCAATACACAGAGTCCAGTACAGTCTTAAGTACATTGTTAAAAGTAAGTTGAGTTTACTTTTGCCAATTTAATAAAAACTGATATGAAATGTCAGATGGAATATAACATTTAATAATCCTAAAACTTCTAGCCTTCTTCTAGGAGGTCTAGAAGAAGGCTAAGACAACGTGAATCACAGATCATGAGACTTACGAGGCCAGCTGTGTGTTGTTGACCAAGTACTCCAGAGGATAACTGCAACTGTATTTGTAGAGTAAACCTGGGAGATAGCTGATGATAGTAGGTGGATCTGGGGTATCAATATAACCTGATATGTTTCCAATTTGCACCAGTGAGAGATTTCCATAGGCATTGGGTCCCTGAGCTGTGGACACCTGTGTTGAGGGAAACATCATCAGGAAAAGCACATCTTTTCAAAATAAGTCTGTGAGCTTAACGATAATGCAGTTTCACAAAAATACAAATTAGTTTTAATTAAAATGATAATAGAAATTTTTCCCTTTACATGAAATGTGTAAATGTAATAATCTCTATTCTTGGGTTTTATTTTTATTTCAGTCTTGGTTGCTTACATTCTAAATAACCTTATGTACAAAATGCAGACTGTTAAACTGTATTCTACTTACCACCAGGGCATTTCCACATGACTCCAATGTTGCCAAGCTAATACTAAAGATCACAACAGTAGGAAATGTGTTGTTATTAATAAATCCTCGACAATGTGCATCTCCATGATGACCATTTAGAGCCAAGTCTGAATCAGTGTAGCCAGAGAAAAGTACTGGACAAAAGTTGACCTTAAGAGTGACAGTTTGAACCCCACAGTACACACTGATATCCCGCTCAGCTGAAAGACACACATACACACAAACACATTTTGAAACACATCAAAAATACTTAGCATTTTGTTTTGCATATTCAATTTTTGCATATATCAAACCCACAGTCAACTTCTTCACTTCACCATTCACATTAGATTGTGAAATGTAAAAAGAAATGTATTGTTTCCTACATTCTAAAACAAGTAACATAAAATAATTTATTAAAAAATATACGATACAGCGATTTCCTTTCAGTAATTTGGTAATTTCTATAAAAGAAAATATGAACATCTCTTTTATTCCTTCCAGTTTCTCACCAGGGAAGCGACTATGAAAGTTGGCATCACAGTTGTATCCATTGAACTGAGCTCCCACTGAAAAGATCTGGCAAAAAATTAAAAAAATCCAAAATATATGTTCCATTTCAGTACCTGTAACACAATAAAAATCAAAGGTAAGCACAAGCATCTTTTCCTGTCAGCTCAGTCTAGAAGAGCGGGAAACAAAGAGTGCAATCAATAGTGTATTTTCATGTTAGTCAGAGTGGTAAATTACACAAATAAACCTTAACTTTCCAAAGGAGCTCAGTTTAAAGCAGCTAAATGTCTCTAACTTAGATTTGTTCTTATACATTAGTCTTCACTTTTCACTGATAGCTTTGGTAATTTAAAAAATTACTTAGGTACAGCTTTTCTTGGAAAATGTCACTGCACCATAAAATCTCCATATCTTATTACTGCTCAAAAATAAGGTAGATGTTAGTAAAGTCATGATAGATTCCCTGACTGTGGCGACAGTCAAAGTACTTACCATACCATACCTGGAAGCCAGCAAGTCAGTCCTTCTCCATAAGCCTGGAACAGACGAGGGAATGGTTTGCACAGCATCCCTACCTGACAACTAGAAACAGAGCCCTGCACCACAGGTGAAAAACAAACCCTACACATAAGGGCCTCATTATTTGAAGATGTCAACAAAAAACGGCTGTCCACATGGAACATGGGAAAATCCATCAAATCTGAATACGTTATACAAATCTTTTCACATCCTCAGAAATATGAGCAGGTTTTGAAGTTTCCCACTCATATCCTTTTGGCCCAATCTGGCTCACAAATGGTTAGTCGCTGCAAGAGGTCTGGTGGCAGAGGTAGTGTTCAGGTGCGGGGGAAAGAGGGGGCTAATTACCTTCTCATCACTCCAGTGGTCTTGGTCTGACGATTGAGAAGTTTCTTTCTGCTGGGACCAGTTGTGGAATGCAAAACCAAGCACACAGACTCTGCAAGCAACTTGTCAAGCTTTGTGTATGGTGGCTTTCAGTCAGCACAGCAGCAGGCAAACTGCTTGGTGGGGCTGTTAACTGCTGCAGAATTGCAGAGCACAACCCCTAGACTTTGATTCCAACTCCTCGAATTCCCTTCACACAAGAAGGGCTATTTAAAAGAGTTTCAGTGGATTAACAGGTCTGTACTGTCCCATCTTCTATATGGAAACCAAATCTGATGTGGAAGAAAGAGAACACACAGGGTTCCAGTGAACATGGAACATGAGATGGACAGATAGTGGCATAGACCCCTCATTTAAGGCCCCGTTTACAAGACAATGATTTTGGGTGAAAACGGAAGAGTTTTGTTGTGTTTGTAGTGTACATTTATACAAAGCCACCGAATGTTTTCTCTGACAACGGCACAGACTGAAAACGGGTTCCAGAATGCGATGTTTCTGAAACGTACCGATGTCCGTTGTTGTGTAAACAGAGAAAATGGATCCTTTCTTCCAGAGAATCCCCAGCTCATGCATAGTATGACGCAAAACATAGCTGCTTCCTACAATCCACAGAAGAAGAAGAAGAAGAAGAAGAAGAAGAAGAAACTACTCACAATGCTGGTGTTACTACAAGTAGTGTTTCCCCATCAGATACGGTTTCCTCAGCGTCTCTTCACCGCTCCGCATCGCCCAGGTGGCAAAATACACGGATGCTTGTTCAGCGCTCTAATCTAGAGAACTACGGACCAGCCCCAGCTCCAGACGAGTTTAACAGGGGGTGGTGTAATGGATAGTGAACCATTTAAATTAAGTTGCCTAAATTATTCAAATTTGTAGACTATTTATTGTAAATTATTTAAAGGACGTTGCAGATTGTCTAATAATGTCTGTTTTGATTACCACTGTTGGTGGTTTGTATTTTGTTTTGTTTACTTGTATTTGCACTTTGTAAAGTTTTTTGTTTTGTTTTGTTTTTTTGTTATGTACCACGCGGGCTGCCATAGCTAAATGAGGGCAGGCCCTATAAAAGCTGGCAAATCATTGTACCAATGAATGACTTGAACAAACTGTCAAAAATTTGCACTGTTAACACTTAGTGTTCCCCGGTGAAAGCAGCGAGGTACGTTTTATTTAGTTTTTTTTTGTGTGTTGTAAGTTTGTTTATATTCTAATATTTGTATATCTGTTTAGTTTTCACTGTGATTACGGTGACTGAGGTAATCAAGATGATTGAGATGACTGATGGTCCACATCAAAGAAAAATAAACAAACCTTGAAAATCACCCGTCGAGACCGCGCAGATTAATTCAAGTGCTGAGGAGCTGCTACAGGAAGCATCGACTTATTTTGGGGGGGCCAAAATGAGTCTACGTAGCTGAACAAGCTTAAGGTGCTGTATCGATATTAGCTAGTCATTGTTTAGCTGTCATTACCTGTATCCAACAGCTTTACTCAACTCAGTCGGTTAGTTTGGGGGAAAAACTGCAAAGTTATTTACGTTTTGCTGGTTTGCTGCCATTATTCTAACACACACCTGCAGCAGCAGCAGGTCTCCTTCGCTCCTGCACAGGTGTAAACCCAGCGCGCGAGCGTCTCAGCGTTCATGTCGCGTTTGAAGGCGGCTCGAAAAAACAGGTTACGACTTGTTAACAACGGATTAAACTGTTTTAACTGCTGAAAAAGGTGACAGAGGACACGGATATGGGAAGTGCGGGAGCTCCTATTTTATCAAATTGATATAGGAATAACAGACTGTTGGCCATTCCAAGGTAAAAACAATAAACAGCTTCCAGTCCAGGGAGGGGTGAGGGGGTGGGGGAATCAATGTCCCCCCAATGACTGCCCATGCCGCCGGGCCCGCTACGGACACCGTGAAAGCTCAAACAAGGTGTTTCAGCAAAGTTATCCCACACTTTTTCAACTGCTTGCGCCCTAATCAGACGCACATAGTGCGTGTTTTCTCCCAGTCTATAGGAGAACGGCACCTGATGGGGAAACGTGAATCCACGTGCCTTCAATTTCTTCAGTTTCAAAAACCTAGCACCAACTGGGCGCGGCAAGAGCATTACACGTTTTCGATGTGTACCGTTACTGTGTAAACAAAGATTGTAATTAGAACGTTTTCATGTAAGTGATCCAACAAAAACGGAACAAAAATTCAGTTATTGTTGGATCATTGTCGTTACTCTCAATGTAATTAGTCTCAATGTAAAATACCATGTGTTCTCTGACTTTTTTCAAATTATAATTCTAAATTCTATTCATTAAATTTGCTTAATCTTAACATTTTTCTGTATTATTATGAAAAAAAAACTTTACTGAAGCTGCCCTTACCTTTAAGAAGATGAAAAGTATCTATTCTAATCATTATTATCTAACTTGTGTTTCAAGTGGTGTCAAACACTTTCAAAGCTTGTATTACATAAAAATAACTGAAAGGGCCAGTATTATGTAAAATTGAAATTTTTTGATACCTAGAGTGTTGCTTTGATCATTTTATGCTTTTTAGAGAAATCCTTAAATCTCCCATGGTAGTCATTTGGGGGGCCTAAGTTCTTGCTCTCACTGAGCACCACCTTTTCCACACAGCTCCTCCTTGGCGCTGCAATGTCCAAGCTTCCACATTACAGAACACCCTTCCCCTAAATTTTCCCCCACTCATCTCCTCCAGACTACTGCCAGCAGCAACTAGCAAACACCTGATAGAACTGCACATCTGCAAAGCTCATTACTATTTCTCAATTGAATGTGCTGAAAAATACTCAAACGTTGTTGAGATGACCTGCTGAAAGACTGTCGGAAAGAACTGCAGCTTCTTAAAGAGACAGTGGGCCAGTTTAAAGATTGCAAAGAATTCATTACAATATATTTAACAAAGTTCGGAGGAGGTAATTTTCCTTAAGGATTTTTATATTTGAGGTACCGAAATAAAAAATTATTCAAGGAATCGTTTCAGCCCTATTTTCTGGATAAAGTATCATGCACAGTAAGGCCTTAAAAATATTAGAGTGGGAAAAACCAGCCGCTTGTCCTACTTTATTTTCTCTGAACAGAGGATCTGGGCTTTCAGCTATTGATAACTGATTGCTTCTTGTAGGTGTGGATTGTGTTGAAAAGTTTTACATTACAATCACTAATGTTTGCACTTTACAATTCAACATAGTGTTGAATTATAATGCTATGTAGCTGCCTGCTTCAAGCTGCCTGTGTTGTAAACAACCGTTTTCCACTGCTAAGCCGACCTGAACGAGATGACTGTTAATGTTAATTCAGTATTTGGAAACATGGCCAACACATACTGAACAGCTTTGTTTGCTTCCCACGCTGCCATTGCTAAAACTACAGGCAGTCTACAATTCTAAAACAGAGCATAAAATCAACTTCATCATTTACGACTTTTCCTTCTGTTCGCTGATTGGCCCTTTGCTTGGATTCATAGTGGTAATCCAAGGAAAGGGGAGAAACCCCAGACTGTGCTGTAAGCGATAATAATTCTGAGCAAAATTGCACAGGAAGGCAATGATCATGTTTTTTTGTTAATTACATCGCCATGTTAATTCAAAACTATTAACACAAGTAATAGCACACGTCATGTTTCTGAGCCTCAGGTTTTGATACATGTATGCTATTGTTGGAGTGCAAGCTATAGTTCCATATTACAGTTGATGGAAAAGGTTTACAGAGGTGGAGAATAATATTTATTGCCAAAGTTGGTTAAATGCAGCCTGTATAAAGTTACACAACTAATATCAGTTGAAGTCATTATTATATTTAAAAACTTAAATAAAACCTTATACAAAAATGATGGCTGAAAGATAATCAGGTTATATTGGGAGTCTGTAATGAGTGACAACAGGAGTGAATTCAGTTTTTATTAGACTTAGATCTAGTTCTTGTTGTAGTTAACCTGTTGTTCACAGGTTGTCATTCACACGAGAGGACCCAAATTTGGGTCCTCTCGTGAATGACAGGTTAAACACCCCTGACTCCAGGGAATGAGGGTATGTGTAGCAAAGATAAAACTGAAAGTCTGTACCATTGTGCAGAGAAAGAATGTGGCAGCAGTCCTTCCAGTCATTCTGAGACTGTTCATGCAGCTCCTCCCACCTACAGCTGCCAATTGTAGTTCACTTTTCACATAGTAAGGAGATTTTGAGGAAGGTAAGTTCTTTGCTTTCTTATATTAAATTTGTTTTTGTATGGTGAAATTCTTTATGGTTTTATAATGTCCCTCTTAATTTTTTAGAACAGAAAGTTTAAGAAAGATTCATTTGCAAAAGAAGCAATAGTTGAACTTTTTTAGACATTCAAATATGAAAGAAGTACTAGTTGTTCCACTCCATCATTATCAAAAGAGAACTATGCAACATCGCACATTACAAATCTGATATATCAAAAGCATTGTAATTAAATCTATAACTTAGGCTGTAGTTAGTAGTTATTAAAGCTGTAGTTGTGGTGGTGTTTTATTCTGAACAGTTACTTGTTAATTTTGCTGTTATTCACCAACTTCAC